TGTTGCCTTCATCTCCAGAGTGTTTTGGAGGAGAATCCTGTTCAGTTTTCTAAAGTTACAGTTCCTCACCCATAAATACCAATAGTCCAGTCTCAAAAGAAGGTTTTGATTGAGTTTATTAAGGAAAATGCTCATTCTTGCTTTTCAGATGGAAAGATGGTGTTGGTAAACTCTAAGGGAAATACACAGATACACAAATGTGCTCGGGGCTGTTTTTCCTAGGTTGTTGAGGATAAATCAGAGACTTGATAAAGCAAATACCTGTGTTTCAGATGGGTGACACTTATGTTTGGGCAAGCACTGCCTGTAGCTGCAGTTGAGTTATGAATTAATTAGCAGCACCTAATACGATCTAAATGAGGTCAGACATGAACAAACTGCAAGTAGAAAAAAGCTTGCCCTTAAAAGACAGGTAACTTGTTAACTGACTGCAGTTGCTGATTTTTCTTTGTACAGAGTTAATTTGCCAGAGGTATGAGGCTTTGACCTACCAAGTTCGTTGCAAGGAATTCAAGATTGTGCAATACAAACCAACTTTCCCTAGAATTAAGAGGTTGAGGTGGCAACTGGTATTTTAACAGTGATCTGTGAGGGGCTGGAGACTTCAGCTGGACTTGAACCTGCACTGAATTCTTGGGGACTGTATTTGCTAATGTTTGGGTGAAGAAGTTTTAATGCAAGCATTGGCACCTGAGCTGAGGAATGTATAGCATGGGCTATAACAACGTGAATTTCCTGGCACTGCCTTGACACTATTTTTTTTTTCCTATTATTATTATGGTGGAAACTTGAAACAAATCTCATTTTGAGACTTAAGACATCATTATCTCAGCCCAGAGACAGCCCAGCCTCATGTACACAGCATCCTGTCTCACCTGGGTTTTGTTCTTCCTCAACCATCAGCTGGCTGGGAAGCATTAGACAAGTCCCATTTCCTGCAGAGACCCTGTTTCTCTTCCATGCTTTTGTTCATCTTCTCTCTCTCATATTTCAGATCTATAAAGCAAAGAGTGTGTGCTTTATATTTGCAAACTGCTTTGCATAGAGGGCTGTGATCTGTGTAGGGTTTCCTAGGTAGTATTGGAGTAAATATAATAAATCAGTGGATGCAAGTCAAGTTAGCCTTTTTTTTTAAAAAAAAAAAAACAAAAACAAAACAAACCAAACAAACAAAAAAAAAACCACCAACCAACAAAACTTCGGATCTTAATAGGTTGTTAGTGGCTTTATTTCTTCGTTGGGCATGGGGTGATACACTGTTAATACACTTCCCTTCATCTTCTGGTGTTCATGGTTCTGATACGCTTTTAATTTAACATTCTTCTTTTTGCTTTCAAAGGTTTTCAACGGAAATCTTGCAAGCGTGTCCGGAATGTGCACATTGTATTACAGCCTTGCCAGAGCATTTCTAAGACCCAGAGACAGTGTAGTCCATGAGGGTGCTCTACCCCCTACCAGCTGAGGAGAGCAATAATGTTATTGTTAATGTCAGTTGAGTTTTAAGTACATTCATATTTTTCTCTTACATGTGAAAGAGAAGGCAGTTTTGACATAGTTCTTTAAACACATTGAGCTCAACGATTCTGCTTCCAGGGTTTAGGAAACATCTTCTCCAAAAGAAAGATGGCAGGTCTTCCCTAAAATGTGTTTCAGTATCATATTATTTATATGTTAACAGAGACTTCTGGAGAACAGTATATTACTTCACTTCTTATCATTTTTCAGTCGCTTCAAGGAGGTGAAATTGTAAACTTGGTCTTAAGCAAAACAGATGCGCAAAATGCGAGCCATGGCAAGAAGGGACCAGAGGGCACCCGATGGCGGGGAGAAGCTCCACTGGCTTATGGGGCACTTCTCCACGGAGCAGGAGAGGCTGCAGGTAGCTTCAGAGAGGCGGTGGAGGGAAAGTCCTGTGAGCTGCCGTGTCCTCCTGTGCCTGGCACAGACACGGCCTCGGTGCTGGCTGCTGCTGTTTCCAAGTCAGATGTTCTTACCTTTGCCTTCTCAGATACTGCTGTTATATTTGCTATTGTTTCTGGTATCATCATAAAAGCTTGAGACAAAAATTCTTCACTGTGTGGCCAATCTCACTGTAAGTCACGAACAGGTAGCCTGAATGAGATGGAACGGCCTCAAGTTGTGCCAGGGGAGGTTTAGATTGGATATTAGGGAAAATGTCTTTACTGAAAGGGTTGTCAAGAACTGGAACAGGCTGTCTAGAGAAGTGGTGGAGTCACCATCTCTGGAGGGATTTAAAAGCTGTGTAGATGTGGCGTCTAGGGACATGGTTTAGTGGTGGACTTGGCAGTGCTGGGTTGACAGTTGGACTTGATGATCTTAAAGCTCTTTTCCAACCTAAATGATTCTGTAATTCTATGAAATAATGGAGGAAAAGGCATCTTGGGAAACACTGGTGTAGGAAACCAAGAGAGTACTTTCACTGATACACATAAACCAAAGCACAACTGTTATTTAAATTCTACACATAGCTGTGAAAAGTTAGAGCCAAATTCTCGTCGTAAATCAGGGTGGCTCCATTAACTTCAGTGGAACAGTGCCAGCGCATCCCAGACAAAGACTTGGCTCCGTCTATTAATAGCAACAGTCAAGTAATAGAGCTGCTTGGAGAGGTTCCACTGGAACAAAATTTTGATTAAAAAACCAGAGATAAGAATGACAGAGGAATCTGCCTTCTGGTTCTCTTGTGGAATGTGGCTCCCATGGGCTTTGACCCTCTGCACCTCCAGAGACCGCTGAGCTCGCGCAGCTCAGCGAGACCCAGCAGTCGCTGTGGTGGTCCCACTTTTCAGGTGCAGTCAGTTCGTTTAGATAATGTAACAGCAGTGTGACAGCAACTGTGGTACACTGATTCTGCATTTAGTGTCAGGGCGGGCAATCATTCTCTCAGCTGCTTTTCTTTCTCTGTAGCTTCAGAAAATACAAAGTTTTCCTTTCACCAGATACCTAAGGTTTTTATTTCTTTAAATTCTTCAATACACCTTGTTGAAAGGATGGGAAATGTTGTCATCAGCCACTGATGCTTCGTGTTTCTTATGTGACCCTGTTATTCAGGGATAGACAATTAAATTTCACAGCTGCATTTCAAATCATCTCTAAAGAGAGAGAGAACTCCTCCAGGTGTCTGTGAGTTGGTCTCTTACTGAAATTTCAAAAAAAGCTCAGCAGAAATTCCCACTGTGCAGTGTTAATGCTGTTTTCATTTCCCAGAAACTAGTTAATTTATTTACTGTGCCCCACCAGTCCAAGTTCCCTTTATAGATTAACTTGTGTATTTTGGCTCCTATCCATCTCTTGCTTTGGCTCCAAATGAATGATACCAAGACTGTCTTTGAAACAAGGCAGGAATGTGAAGTTTTTTGATTAAACAGCAACATCACCCCTGAAACCTCTCTTTCTGCCAGCTTTGAGGCCCCAGTGCAGAAGTACGGTATTAGGAATGGCAGAGTAAGGTCTGGTAAATTCAACCTTTTTGAAGAAAACAGACAGGTAATATTCTGGTAGGATTTGGAAACTGTTTGCATCTCCTCAGAAGGTGTGTCACCGGAGCAGCTTGTCACCAGAGGTTTTCAAGCCTGTTTATTTGCTTTCGTTTAATAACTAATCAGTCTTTAGAACTGGTGTAAATGAGAATTACAAAACAAGGTCACTGGCTAGCACCTCTCCGGCTTGCCAGGTTCAGCCTTTCATTAGGGGCTTGGAGGGCCTGTGAGCATGCCGGGGGTTTGAAGCTGGCAGGGCAGTTGAGGGGGTCACATGCTGTTCGTGTGACCATCTCCTGTGTGTCTTCTGTTGGCCGATGAAGCGGGCTGCTTGTAGAGATCTCACTTGCCAAATTGAAGCTGCATGCATCATGTATAACAATCAGAGTAAATGTGCTGCTGGTAATTACAGGCTGTTTTCTGGACTCTGCAAAAATTATGTATTTGTTGTACATGAACTCTAAGCTGGTGCTCTTTCTAGTACATTTGGTGTGTTTTCAGTGGAGTTCTTAGCATCAGCCATAATTGGCTGCCTTTTAAAATCTATGATTTGTTACTGACAGCAGAATCTCTCATCAAGACACTCGGTTGACCTCTTATCAAGCTACTTTCTATATGCCTCTGGGAAAGGTTCTCTGAGATGTGTATTTTTGAGCACAGATAGAAATAGCATGGCATCTCACTTAAACAACAAACCATTTTCATCATGTTTATGAAATAAGCAATAACAGAATCATACTTTATGTGAGAAACAATGGAAGCCCTTAAGGAGTAGGGAGAAGGCTGATAAGATTGATTTATAATAACAATGTCTTCCTATTTGATAATTCTACTGCTTGTTTGGTACATTTATCCATGGGGCACTGACATGTCCAACTGTCCATGTGTTCATATTTCTGTTTGAGATTTTCTGAAAGGAGACATGGAGGCACTGGTGGGGTTTGGGGCACACTGTGTGATGGCATTGCAGTCGTGTAGTTGCAAACCCCCCATGCTGTTCAGATCCACCCAAATGAGAGGGAGGTACCAATCCATGGTTATGAGCATTTTTGGAAGCATGGCTCTAAGTCACTCTGAAACTTGGCCAGCCAGGTCCATGTTGTATTTAAGCACCTCCAGGATTAGACAGCATCTGAGCTGGGATTTTCAACCCCTCAGATTTATTTCTAAGCGGATTCAGAAACTAGTTTTGATTTCTGACCCTTGATGCTTTGCAGTCATAATGAGAGGGCATCTTCTAGCTGTGTGTATAGTCTTTTAGATCTAATGAAGATCTGGAGCACTCTTGTTATTAAAGACTTAGTTGCTTGGTTTGTGATAGAGGAAATTATCATTCCAAGATCCTGATAATTACTGAAGCCAGGAATGTACTTCTAGCTACTCCAAATAATATTTTAAGGTTCTCACCTTGAGTATGTGTGTAATGCTCCTGTCTGATCTCCCCAGCTGTGATCAGAGTCCTCCCACTGAGTCTTTTTCACATGTTTCTCTTTTTTTTAGGATCCTCTAGATATTATTGGAATGCGACTACAGAGAAAAATGTGCTTTTCTGACAACTTGGTTGTGGACATTTAATCAGACTTTGATTTCTGGAAATGCTGCAACATGGCTTCATCTGGGAATGAGATAGAAAGATGGCCTCACAGGCAAGGTGGCAGAATTGGAGAGCTGGTAGAGCCCGTGACCTCTCCCGAAAATGGTAATTGTCTTTCACCAGCAAAGTCGATCGGCAGCGTAGACCATCTCTTGCACCTTCCTGGAAGAGTAGACTCTGCTTACAGCTCTTTCTCAGGGGGATCAAATGTTCCAGAGTATCCCACCCCATCGTGCTATGGTGAAAACTGCTGTCTTCCTCCAGAGCAGGTACCGTACATGGACACAGAATATGTAAGAGGCATTTATAATGTCAGTGCAGCAAACTCTGACCTCAGGTGCCTGCATCTGTACAAGGCACCAGACCTGAGCATCCATAATAACCCTCACAGCACCAGTCTAGCTGAACGCTGTGGAAGCACTCCTACCCGTGGGACTTTAAATCAGGGACCGCTGCCTCCGGCGGCACCTCCACCTTCTCCTCCCACGCGACTCGATAGCTATAAAGTCACTAGGCACCTTGAAAACTCAAGAGGGAGACGCAACTCTGGAAGTCGTGGTGAGTGCAGCGGGCAGCCAGCTCCCTGCGAGCGGGACAATCAGCTAGCAGATAGGGTTGTACCGTGGAGTCAACATGGGAGTGAAGTTACAGAGCAAGATAGAGTGGCTGCTAGGGGAAAGACTCTGGAAAACAAGGGCCTTTCTTCTGATTCTACAAATGAGGTATCTGTATCAAAAATTCAGGGGTTAAAACCAGAGGAAAATGGAGAGTGGAGCCGATCCCAACAATCTTTAAAGAGAAGCAATCCACACATTTCCAGCAGACCTTCTTCATTGATTTTTCAAGAATATTTAAAGACTGCCTCTGTGGCTAATGTCCCTAGAATACTTTCTGCTTATAATTCAGTCCATGCTTATAAAAGTTCTGAAGAGATGAACTCCAGGTCCTACCACCCAGTGCATACCAACCCCAACGCTGTTAATGATACACAAGAAGACAAACAGGATCCCTGCAGTGTACGCAAGCCTGCTTTCGGAGGAGCAGAGCTGCCAAGCGCGGTGCCAGAACCCAGCCAAAGGAGAGGATCCTTGCCCTGCGCTCAGTGCCCGCTCCGTGCTGAGTCGCGTTCAGACACGGATCGAGATGCGTTTGAGGACAGTTGTGACTTGAACTATATGGAGAATGCTCTTCTAATTAAAGATGCTTCCAGGAAACTGAACAGTTGTACAGATGAAAATCAGCGCTATGACTCTGAAGGAAAAATTGGGAGTGATGTTAGAGAAGCACTCCTGAATCAGCAAGACAAACCTCAGAGATCATCACTGTCCTGCAGCTACGGTACTGTAGAAACAGAGCACCTGCACTGTGAGGAGTCGGATCAGGGAAATAAGCAATGCTATAATAACACTAGCCAAATGTCTTTTTTCAGACCAAAAGAAGATTCCACATCTCAGTTTTTACATGAAGTCAGGAAAGAAAACCAGACTAATAACAGCAGTCCTGACCTTAGCACGCATCTAGAACAAGAGGAACCGCCTGTTTGTTATCAGAAATATCAACCTGAATTGCAAAAACAGCTCTTAAGACAGCTTCAGGATGATCTTGCTGGTGAACAAATAACCAGGCAGACAACTCCCATGCTTTACTATCTTTCTGGGGGGAAAACCACCAACGTCCTGTACCACAACAAGCTCACTCAATGTCATGAGGACTTGAGGAGCTCACCAAAGGAATTTCCAGTAAGCAGCTACTCTGCCTCAGCGCGGTGTGTAGAGATACAAAGGGAAAGCAAACAGCTTCAAAATACCAACCACCACCATCAGTGCAGTGCTGGTGATCTCCTGCTTGAGACCGAAGATCTTGTTCTCAGGAGTCCTGCTTCCTCCATGGATGAGAATTTCAAGAACGACTATAGAGAGAAGCTTAAAGTGGCTCAGAAAAAGGTTTTGAGAGAAACCTCCTTTAAAAGAAAAGACTTACAGATGAGTTTGCCTGTTAGACTGAGACAGAAACCCTCTACGAGGCCATCAATCGAACACCTTAGGTCTTTCTCCTTATCCAGTGCAAGTGAGGATGCCAAACCTCTTCTTTGTTCCCCTTCCCATCTAGAATCCTTGGAAAGTTTCCACAGAGATGAAGAAATTAAGAGGCCACAAACAGGTCGAATAGGGGGAAGGAAAAGGGTGACGAAGGAGCAAAAGAAGCTGTGTTATTCTGAACCTGAGAAACTCGATCAGCTAGCAGATAAAGACATATCATGGAGTGAAGTCAGGGGTGAAATCACTGAGCAAGACATAGTGGTGGCTAGGAGAAAGACTTTTGAAAACAGAGGGAGGGCACTTTCCAGTTCAGGTATCTCCAGGGCGGAGCTGAAACAAATCCAGCATACTGCACTTATTGAATACATGGAACGAAAGATTAATCAAAGACCAGGTAGTTCACAACACCTCCCGCTGCATAAGCTGCCCCTGCAGAAGAGGCTGTCGCATCCCAAATGGCCTCCTGGCAAGATTTCCGATCCAAGCGGGAGCAGGAAGGTGCAAAACAGTGAGGTTCTCTGCCCAGTTTTCTCTAAAGACAAATCCCCAGATGTTTTTCCTCCTTTGGCTTTTGTTTCCCCGCTGAGCGTGGGCAGCAGGTGTGATCCCAGCGCTGCTGCTGCTCGCACGGCGACCTCGAGGCACGGCCCGGCTCCCGGCGGCGCGGACGGGAGCTGCCCTGGGAAGTGCGCGTCAGCTGAGAGCCTCCCGCGGGCCGGCGATCCTGCGGCTCAGCGAGTTCGCGAGAGATCGAAATCAACGCCTCCATCCACACAGGTGAGAGAGAGAGAAAGACAGTGATTATGGTTTGAGTCCAATTTATGGCTGTTTTGGAGAACTGTGGGACTGTTCACAGGAAAAACTGCTGAGCGTCATGAATGAGGAATTAAGACTTTATTTTTTTTAGCACGTACTAGAGAGATGATAGGAGGAGGGGAAAAGCCACATTTCCTTCATCTATAAGAAGTGCTGTGTAGCTGTTTGACAGCAAAATGCATGCTCTGCTTTACAGTGCAGGTGAAATAATTTGAGGGGATTCTGAGAGAAGCGCTCCCAATTTTAACATGTTATGGGTTTATGGTCAATGATAACAATTCATTATTCTCAGAAGCATTTTGTGAGAAGGTACTGCAGACAAACAAGGTGTTCCTTAATGCCAACAGTTGTAAGAGAATTGCGTAAGAATGGAAACTGCACAACAGCTGACTGAAATGCGTGCTTGGTTTGGGCAGAGTCACTTGTTAGCATTCAGCAAGGGCGCGGGTAAAGGCGGGGAGGAAGACGAGTGTCTGCTTCAAGGGACACGCTGTGCAAGTGCCGTAGGCTCTGCTCGAGGGCTGGACAACGCCGGGCATGTGGGGTCCCTTCCAGAGCTGCAGAGGGGGGTACGTGGGCTCTGGCCCTCGGAAATCACGTTTGCAGAGATGGGCTGCACGCTGCATGATGCTGTTTGGGTCTCAGCAGTCCCTGTTGTTAAGTACAGCAACTTCATTACAGCACTATCCCAGAAAAGGTTATTACAGAAAGATTTTTATAAATGACCAACCATTTTGGTTCCTGAATTTGAAGGACAGTAGTTGTCAATGATGTTGTCAAGAAGAATAAAGACGATAAAAGGGTCAGAAAACAAATAATCTAATCTACTACTAAAATTACCCAACTGAAGAGGCTGACAACAATTCAGAAAGTAGTCATCATTTTGGAAGTTGGAGAGTCAGTGAGAGTGGAGTATATATTTTGTTGCTAGCTGTTCTTTGGTTTTCTGGGGAAGAGAGATGGATGCTACCTAGAAAGAGCACAGTAATAATTTAATTAATAAAAGGAAATAGACACACACAGAAATAAAAATGTCACGTATCTACTCAGATCTACTCTTGGCTTCTGTGTCTGGGGATAACAAACACAGGAGTAAAATGAAACAGCTGCCTAGTCTGAAAATGCTGGTTGTCCCAGTGTGCCGTTTTCATTTCCAGGGCCCTTCCGGACGTGCCGGTGGTGCAGTGGCACCGTCGTGGCGTTGCGAGAGCTGTCTCGGCACCCCCAGGTAAGGCTGCACCCCCCGAGACGGGCAGCTCCACCGGCAGCCGTGGCTGGCTGCTGCTCTCCTCGGCCTGCGATCCCTCGTTGTCCATACGGGAGCGTTGATCCGCTAAGCTCTTGGTTTCGTTTTGGGACAGTCTTGAAAATCATTTCTATTGTGTGGAGCAGAAGCGGAGGATGCAGAGTGTACCTGGGCTGCTGTCCCTGTGGCAGCCGCTCTCCTTCACATCCCTGGGATCACAGCTCCCTCCTCTGAGCTCCACCGAAAACAGCATCTGCAACAGCTCCGATATGCCCAGTCTGGAAAAAATACGTGTGCTCACCGAGTGGTGTAACAGGGGCTTTCGGTGTGGTTTTTGTTAAGGAAAAAAATATTGTGCTGCTTACACATAGTTACCTAGAAAGTTTGTATGTTATCTCTCAATATTTGTTTCGCTTGTTTGAGGAGCATCAAGGGGGAGAAGAGCTGAACTTTCTCTCAAGGCAGCGATGCTGACTCCTGCATAGCAGTAGAATTTCCACTGTTTCAGTCATCCAGAGCCCAAAGGTTTCTGGAGGCTTCATTATCTTAGAAAAACAATTGTATTTTTAATAAGATCTTGAAGTTTTTCTCAAATTTCCTAGTTTAGCTAAGAGGCTTAGCAGGTCAGCATGAATGTAACTGGAAGGCCCCGACACAACAGTAACATCAGAAATATATTTGGTCATAGCTCTATAATATGTACTAAGTAATGAAAAGATGAGAAATCCAGAACTGGTTTCATTAGTAATTAATTTAGATTATAATCTTTGGAAAATAGCTGTAAGTACAGATTTCATTGTTACAGCTGTATCTTGTTTTTTTCCTCTTTGTTTTCCTCTACAAGAAAGTGCTGCTGAGCTGTGGTAGAAAAATCCAGATTATACTGGGCATGGTTGGAGTATTAATTACTCAAATACAGGTTCCAACCGGGACCAGCAGGAAGAGCAAGCTATGATTGTTACCCACACTGATAGTGTCCAGGGGTTGGTGAAATTAAAGCTTGAGGACATTCTTATGCATATTTTGCATCCATTTAATTGCACAATGCAATTTTGAAGTAGTTTCCACTGATATTATCCATTTTCCATGGTAACTGCTGCAGATGGTTTGTTTAGCACACAAGCTGGTCCGACCCCCTGCCATTGCAACGAGGCCTGAGAAATTAGTAAGAATGTCTGCAGGGATTTTCTTAGGTGTCTCTGTCTCTTCGTAATGTGTCACTCCATAAACACTTGTCAATCCATGATCACAATATTGCATCATCGTCACATTAATTTAGGTATCACAGTACAGCATCACTTTGCAATGTGGTGGTGTTTTGCAGGGGGTATTTTTAGCACCTTTTTCAATGGAAAGGCTTTTCCAGCATTGAGGGCATCACTAAATCACCAGAACCAGGTAGCTCAAGTCAAGGTCAAATGAGGGTTTTATTTTCAATTGCAGTAAAAATGTGCACATAATAGATATCTCTAAGTGTCACTGTTAGTCATTATCCAGTACAAACTATGATTAAATTTTCCTTTGCCAAGCTGACTTCATTTTTTTTTTTTTTGATGAAAAGCTAAAATGACTGTGTTTAAAGCTGCAAAGTAGGGCTGGAAGAAGGGAAACTGTGGCAGAAGCTGGAAGTTCAGAACTAGTGAGACTTTCGTTGCTGAGCCACAGCCAGCCATGTTTGGCCACATGAAAAGCTCCGTGTCTCGCCAGCGCCTGCTCGAGCCGCATAACCACAGCTCAGCTGCAAACCATCCACACGCTCCAGAGCCCCACATCTGCCTCAGGAGACCTGCCCAGACGAGCAGTGGCTGGCGATAGCGTGGGGCTCGTGGGCTTGAATACAGTAGTCCAAGCATTCAAAAGCTTTCCTGGCACAACAATCTGCTGGGATTTTCTTCAATCTAGAAACTGCTCGGCGCGCGTCCCTTCGCTGGGGTACTGCAGCCTCCACTGTTGGGCGTTACGGCTCTTCATTGCTCTCCATGGCTCTGGCCTCCTTCAGGAAAGGAAAACGCCTGCCTTGGGATCCGAGATACAGCTTAGGAAAGGCTGACACCATCCACAGAGCCAGGGTTAATTAGCACCTTTAGGGGAGGGAAGGGCTGGTTCTCTCCCAGCTGCGTTGTTTTTATGTGTGACCCTAGAGAAAGAGCTAAACAAGGGTGGACAAAACCTGCAGTGAACTCTCTACGCCTGTTTTGAGGGAGAATGTTATTGCTTCGTGCCTACAATTTTGAAGCTCATATGCCAGGTTAACATAGTTAAATGGGGGCTTATAAATCTTCTTTCTGTCTAATCCCTCTAGCTTTTCTCTCTACTGTGCCCTCATCATCCCATTAGGTTATAAAAAAATTTGCTAGAGGAAAAAATAGGTTTGTTTATTCAGTCATGCAATAATATTTATATGTATGCATGTACTGACTATTTTCACAAGCAGTTAGGTGGATGTATATGTGAACATCAGTGATTGCAGTAGACGATTTACGCCAATTCCAGTCATCTTGGGTTCAACAGTGCCCCTATATTCTTGCAAATTCTGGTCCAAAATGTATTTTTAAATTATATATATCTACTTATTCTGTCATCATGAATATAATTATTTATGCCCTGCAGCCAGTAGCTTTTTCTATCAAAATTTCTTCTGCAGTATTGCATCAGAAAACTCAAAGCACTGAGCCAGAAATGCATTGGCCAACACAAAAGTACAAGTTCGATCTCAAAACAATTAATTGAAAGGATTTAATAAAACTTTTACTTGAGTCTAATGGTCATTTCAAAACCGCAGCTTCGGGTGAACAGTGTTTCCTCTGGGTTTGTATTCAGTTTGCCTGAAGAGAAGGACGCACTAGATGCCTTCTCTAAGACAGACTGAGAGGTGACGCACAGGAGACAGTGACGGTGTAAACCCCTTGTCACTCCTGGGCTGAAACATTCTCGCTATAAAAATAAGGTGTAAGGAACAAGACAGTAAGGATTTGCTCCCTTGCGATATGGTCACTGTGTTACAAGAGGGCTGGCGAGGGAAACACAAAGTGTGGATCGTCCTCTGTTACTGCTGGGGGTTCCCAGATGGGGCCCGAGAAAGGTCTCGGCCAGCCCTGGTCCCCTCCCGTGTCTCGTCCCGGTGGCAGCGTGCTCCCCAGGGCTGCTGGGACGGCCGCCAGCTTTTCACCCATTTGTCAGACGGCATCAGTGTGATATTTTAGGGCACTTTTTACCAGGGGTTTATTTCAGAAAACATGCATGTCGGTCATAGTTAGAAGATGGGAAATTTAATGGGGATTCACACACTGTGGACTGGTGCAGTTAGACATTTACATACTCCCTTTTTTCCCCAAGCAAAATTAATGGGTATCGTGGAAGATGAATTCTAAAAACTTTAATAAAAAGAGGAAGCTGGAAAGATAGTGACAATTACCAGTAGCTGCTTAAACAGTCTCCAGAAATGCCTATTGAGAAAGTGTCTTAAATAAAAGTAGAAATGTAGAGAAATGTAGAGAAAGTGTCTTAAATAAAAGGCAGTGTCTTCTTTCTTACAGTTCCCGTGATCCTGAGAAAGACGGATGCAAGAATCACGAGTATAAAGACAATGATACAAGCGGAGGTGCATGTTGTTGGGATATTAAGGAGCTGACTCCTGAAACCGCTATTCCTGTCCCAAGAGGTAGAAGCAAGGAGGTTGCTCAGGTGGAGGAGGTGTGCAGAACTAAATCTCTGAATGGCGATGCTTTAATAAAGCGTCCAGAGCAGCAGCCTGCAGCTTCTCCACAGCAAGTAACGTACTGCCACACAGCGTTAGCTCAGCCTCACCAAGGAGACAAAAATACAGCCAAAGGTTTAGTTGCAAAGGAAACATCAGTGCACAATAGCCAAGAGGATATTCTCCCCGAGAGAGAGAGAAATCTGCCCAAAAGGAGACTGCAGTCTCCTGAAGACCAGAGATATGAAGAACTTGCTATGGAGATCATTGCCAAAGACAATTCTCTGGTTGATATTCTCATGCCTCATCCTGTTAGAAAAACTGCTTTAGACCTGATGGAGGGTCTGTTTCCTGTTAACATTTCCATGCTGGATAAATCACACAGGAAAAAGGGAAACGTTCAGCATGTGAATGAGAGCGAGTAAGTAGATAAAACCGATTATCTAGTATTTTCAGTATTTATTTAGTGTATTAATATCATGTATATACTAATAGTAAGATGACTTGAGCATATTATTTTATTTTTGTTTCATTAGCAAAATTTTTTAGCTTTCTGATTTACATATCAAGAAATACCTGAGCCTATGGGTATATGACAGAAAAAATGCAGTTTGATGGTACCTTGTTAAAAGGGACTGTGACAAACCTAGGCTGCAAGTCTTTTGCTCTATATCTTTTAAAAAGTTAGAAAAATTGCTGCGTGAGAAGAGAGGAGAATGATTCTGAACTCAAGATGGATAAAAACCATAAACACAGTGTTTGAGAACAAACCTATAAGTGTTTGCCACGAGTCTTTCTTTTCTGTTTCAATAGCAGAAAAAGTAGTCGAGACACAACAGAACGTCCTGAATCTGAACACGATGCCAAGCAAAGGAGCAGAGATCCCACCTCCAAGAGAAACCAAGTCCTGAATAGGAACAGAGACAGCACAAGTGACCTAGATGACCTCACATCTAAGAAAGTATGTAGATGACCATCAGAGGAACTGCTCTTTCTTCACCATGACAAAGAAGTTATTATTAATGTCATGTATATTACCGTGGATATTTTTATTCGTGACTTTTATCCCAATAATAATGTTTCACAGATAATTTTGAATCCATTTTTGTCAGTAGGTGAAGTCCTGGAAAACTGGCATATTGATCATAAACAGTGGCATTTAAATCCTGCCTGGTTTGACTCAGATCTCTCCTCCCACATACTTTTCTTCAGCAGGTCGCCGGGCGTGGGTTGTACCCAGAACAAGCACGCAGGGCTGGTTATACCTTTCCTTGCAAGGCCAGCTCCTGTGCAACAGCTGACTCACAATTTAACACTCAAATCTGGTCTCAAAATCTGAAAAATTCATTACAACTGGTAGCCTAAGTGAGAAGTACATTTTACTCTGGAGAACTGGCAGCAGTTTCTGCACACAACGGTGCCCTGTTAATCTCCGTAAGTGCAGGGACTAGAGGTAGCTTGGGTGTAGCTGGGCTAGGACAGAAATATGGCACTTTGGAAGGGCGATATGTAGCTTTGAAGAATTAGATGTTTTTTTTTCCCCTGTAGAAACCTGATCATGCTCCATCTCAGGTAATGGCAATCTGCCTTCTTGAAACTCCTTCTGCTGTGCACGTGGTGGTATTTTTCATTACCCACTGCCTAGCTGCTGCTCCTGTCCACAGTGGCGTTGGCTTGATAGGGTTCTTCTCCCATTCCGGTCTCAGGGCTCTTTTCCATATCAACATTTCCATATGAAACAGCATCCTCTGCTTGCCTTGCCACCCAGGCACTGTGGTTTGCTTGAATCACCTGTGGAGCTGACTTTTTTCTGTGCATATTATAAATGAAATCCCAGTCAGTTCTTGTAAAGCTTGATAATAGAGCTGTGACTTCACATTCATGTCTTAGAGCATAACTGTGTGTAATCATGTTGTAATCTTTGTTGCAGTTCACTTCTGACTGATGGGAAGCTCTCTGAGCTAGGGATTATATCACCAGTTAAAGTGATTACCAGTAATTTGATTTTCAGAGTTTGAGAATTAAGTACAGCTTAGAAAATCTTTCCTTTTCTTTTTCTTTTCCAGAGCTTAAAATTATTTTAGTCTAAAATGTGGCAAAGACGATGTGAGGAAAATCCATTCTCTAGAAATGATATGGATTCTCTTTGGTAATAACAGCAACCTATGATTTTTTTTTTTTTTCCCCTTTGAAGCTGGAACTCATCTCCAGCCTCCGAGCAAAGCTGCAGACCCTGTGGGAGGAAAGGGAGCTCGTCCTCTCTGAAGCCAGGGAGTGCGCCGAGCGGGGCGAGGAGCTGGAGGCAACGGTGCGGGACGTCTGCAAACCCAACGAGTTTGAGCGCTACATGATGTTCATCGGTGACCTGGAGAAGGTTGTGAGCCTGTTGCTCTGCTTGTCCAGCCGCCTTGCCCGAGTCCAAAATGCCATGAGGAGGGTCGATGGCAATACAGATGCTGAGGAGAAGGTGAGTGACCAGCGAACAGGGTGTTTAATTTTTTTTTTTTTTTTTTTCTTTTTTTCCCGGCTGGGGCTGTGCTCACCTCATTTGGCTAACAGCCCTAAACAAAAGCAGTAAATTCTACACGACTCCCAGGCAGCCGTTGCGCAGGCAGAGCTCAGTGCCACGTGACAGGCTGTGTCTCTGCAGACCTAAGGTGCAGACCGCAGCTTCGGTGCTGGGGAACAGGGGTGCAGAGGGAGCTCTGCAGCTGGGTGCTGGGCTGGTGGCAGCAGCAAAGCCCTGAGAGGGTCCGAGCCAGAGGGGTGGCCTTCAGACCCCTGGGCTGCTCCCTGGGGAGTAGCTCCAACCCTTTGCTTCAGAAAGCTTTTTGTTGTTTTGTTTTTTTTTTCCACTGGTAATTTCAGTGCAGTAGTCACTGCCTTTGAAATCGTATTTCACTTATTGGGCTTGTCTTAACTATAGTGAGCAGGAAGAAGATGTGGTCATAACTCGAGATAAAATTCCCTGTAGTTTTACTCAGCTAGCCAGTTTTGCTGGAAAATTAAGAATTGTCTCGTATCACCAGGAAATCTTTTCAAGTCTGAAAAGTCTCTTTTTGTTAGAGGAGACAAGCCAAATTTATCCCAGAAATTATGCTTTCCTGCTGTCCTTTCTGCTTTTAGACATGCTTTTATCAATACAATACCTGCTGTTATCTCTCATCTGGAAATTAGAAAAGCACAGCGTTAGAAAAGCTGGGATTTCCTGGAGCTGTGCTGCTGCTGGTATGTAGCTCGCGAGGTTTATCATAGTTCACGTGCAGAAGGGCCCCGAGAGAGCCCCGCCATGCAGTGCGAGGTGGAGACTCAGGATCTACCCCCTCCAAAATGTCAGTCCTGTTAACATGAGTCATTCTGAGCAGTATTTCACGCCGACTTTGGCTTTGTGGTTGGCGGGGAGGCTGCCGGTTCTTTAGTGTTACGTTTACACTCTTCATAGTAAATACATGAAAAGAATTTATTCAAGAATTTGAATGACATGCTCAGTAAAGACTTGGTTACATGCCAGCATTTTTACAGCCATCCCCCAGTTGCTGCAATTTCCCGATGTTAGCAAAACCAGCAGTCTTGATCTTTGACTCCATTTTTGGGGTGTTGATGGTGACCGTCCTTCTGTGGTATATTTATGGACACTGTCCTGAAACTGGACATTTTCCAGCAGTGCTATCCCTGTGAAAATCATTACAGCTGAAAGAGAATTAGCTAAAATGTGAAAGGTATTAAAATCCTGTAGAACAGGCAAAGCTTGATTCTCGTGGGTTTGCTAAAAAGAAACCTTTGATGAACAGTTACTGTCTGCATCTGAGTGACTTTATCGCATGTACCTTTTAATAGAAGTCACACTGTTTTTTTAATATGACATTAGCACACTGGCCACATGCAACTCGCAAAATACAAAGATATGTGCCTTAAAGAGCTTCTAATTGAATGAAGATGGATACAGGATACTTTAAAATTACCAGAATGTTAAGTATATTGATTTTTTTCCTGAGGGCAGCATGGAAGAAGTGAACCTTAATGGGCTTTACTGGGTGTCTTTACCTTACAAGCCACAAGAATGAGTAATTCAATCGAGAAAAAATTCATGTGGAACACAAAGCCCACAAGAGGAAGTAATTAAACTAAATCGACTGTGGCTTCCAAATGAAGATCTAGCGTCTGCCAGGAATGATGAGTTTTCATAGTGTGCTGCTTTGTTTTTTCATTCTATTAGCAATCGCTGAACGAACGGCACAAGCTCTTGTCTAGACAGCGGGAAGATGCAAAAGACCTGAAAGAGAATCTAGATCGTAGGGAAAGAGTGGTCTCTGGAATCCTTGCCAAATACCTGACTGATCAGCAGCTCCAGGACTACCGACGCTTTGTTCAAGTCAAGACCTCCTTGCTGATTGAACAGAAGGACCTCGAAGAGCAGATTAAATTTTTCGAAGAACAGTTAGAAAATCTTGAGAAAAGCATCCCCCTCTAATTCCCACCAACAGACCGTCCCTGTTCACACACTGTCATTTGTGACGTTTCCCCGGACATCCAGAGGCGCTCGGTTCGGTGAATTCTCACAGCCCTGTTAGTGCCACAGTATCGACAAGTGCTGAGACGCTCTGGGGAGGCTTGAGGCACACGCTGGATGTGCCTTCCCCCGGGACGGGCCAGCTGACAGCACCGCACAGCATGTACCAGACTGCACTTGGGAAATGACTGATAGGATGTGTTGCTCCTATTAACTTGGCGTGTATTCCCCCTTTTTGTTGTCTGTCCATCTGTTTCCAGATTGACATAATCTCAATAAAAGAACGATGCAAATATTTTCCTCTTGTGGGTGGGCTGAGTGTTTGAAATGAAAAATGATGTGGGTGTTTAGGTTTGAATTGGAGATTGCACAAAGCCATAAGAAATGTTATGGACCATTTCAGTGAAACTCCTCATTTCTACTGCTTATATGTATGACGCAGGAAAAAAACACTATAATGGAAGAAAATAATTATTTCTTTTCTCAGCAGTTGCCATCCATGATTCTTTCCTGGCTCTGCGCAGTCCTGCTAGGCTGTTCAGTAGTAGGTCTTTGGAGGTCAGAAAAAAAAGTGGTCCTCACTGACATCAAAAAGAACCGATCAGTGATGAAGCCGGTTTAAATGAATTTATCATTTGGGGAATGATAAACTCTGAACTTAGTCCTGCACAGACATTTGCAAAGTTCTCACTATGCTTTCAAAGTGTTTATTTTTCAAGCAGCACCCTCAGGGGGTTGTTTTTAGGTGGTTTGCAGTTGTCAGCGGGCACAAGGAGTGCTGAACATGGAGGGAGAGCCCTGCTGCAGGGCGAGGTAGGTGGGACGAGTGGAGGAAATCATTCTGTTTCAGTGAGGCTTCATATACATCCCTTGGCAAAAATCTTTTAAACTAATGTTGCGTGTTGAGTCAAACCAGTATTTAAAATTTGAGTGTTTGCTTTTAAGTATTCAGTGAGAGGAATATTTCATCTGAGCGACATGCCTAGACCATGAATAAGGCAGCTACTACTTGAACTCAGGTCTCTTCCAGAGGCAAAATAGATGTTCATTGCTCCGTGATGTTAGGCTTTACTCAGAAATGTTTTATGAGTGGTGTGTGTCCTGACTACAATATCACCCCCACTGAGAGGAACAGTCCTGTTCCTGAGGCATATTCTCCTTTGGAATTGCGTGAGCTTTCAATAAACACAGCCACCCCGGATGAGGAGTTGACATGCATTTAAATTGATGGTTTGGGCTCGTTTTACCTCAGATCACATTCTTCATCAGAAAATAGTAAACTCAGAAACATGAGTTTACCCACTGGGCAACATGAACAAACTGATCAAGAAACGACAACGTATATAAGGAGACCACTGTATGCCTTCTGCGTGAGCGGTGTTTGTTAAGGACAATTCCCAACACTCCAGGCAGCTGAAAGAGGACACTGGAGAGGGCACAGTGTGCTGCACTTGCCTGGGAGCAAATTGGGTTTATGCGACAGTGCAATAAAGCACAACTAGCTTGCCAGACTCTGAGGTTGTCAGCTGCTCTGTATTTGTCTTCAGAATAAACGAGTGTATCATCAGGTACTGTCCAGACTCCAACAAAGCAGCATTGTTCTGTTCTGAGTTTGCATATTTATGCAGAAGTACTCATAGCTATAGCCCCACTTGCCTTTCAAGAGAAACTACATAGTACTCTGAGGAAGGCTGTGAAGACTTGGTGTCAGAAGTCAGCTCTGTGATGTGTACCAAGTATCAGTAAATATATTTGCAACAAAGTGTGTGAGTGGATGGTGTATAGCAAAGAGTAGTTTTGTGAATATTAACATTTTGTTCCAGTGATCTGAACAAAATAGATTGTGCTTAATGCTGAAAACACTCACTGGGCACCAGTAACTCCAGGAGTGCAGTGACCACAGTGCTGTGTGTACTGTGGTTACGGCCTTAATAGGTGGGGAGAAATGGCCAGACACTGTAAATCCTGTGAGTGGATCTGCTCAGTGTTCTCAAAAGGCCACAAATAAAGGCTTTTCATATGTAAATCTGAAGGCTGCCTTTTGAAAATGGTCTTTAAAATAACAAAAGCAATGCTAACAGAATCAATGGAGACTTTAAAAAATATGAGCAACATTAAATGAGCTGTTCTCTTATTTGAGTAGCCTGACTTGAAGGTGCACTTTTTTATTATTATTATTATTATTTCTATCTCAGGAAAATTCATCAGGTTGGAAATAAATGTTTGATAATTGAAGCTAATGCTTGCCTTTATGCGAAAGAATGAGTCTGCACTGTTTAGTTTCTCTTACCTTTTTGATCTTTTGTGTCACGGGGAGGATGATTGCCGCTCCTACCACACTGGCATTCACAGGTATGCTTCAAAGAGCAACAATCAGAAATAACTTTTACTCTGTTTTCAGAAAAGTCCCATATCTGTGCTCCTTGTTGCTTTGTTAGAACTGTGAATTTCGGGCAGAGTGGAACATGGATACAGCGATGACATCCAAACCTCTTTGCTGGCAAGCAGAAACCCCCTTTCCAATGCACCCACAGGTCTGGGTCATCAGGTGGGTCTCGATTTTGCTACTGATCGTTTGTTATTGATTTATTACCAGGGGACAAGCCCAGGGTGTAATGGTGTAAATCACACTGGACCTAAGTCATGTGCAGCATTCCTGTCATGCTGACATAGTAAGATGTGGGCTTTTAAAATCACAATCTGATGTGCAAGTAATGATTTAATCTGGTCCCAGATGGATGGGCGAGGAGCAGCCCTGGGTGCCTGAGACTGGTGAAAGACTCTTGGTTGCTCAAAATTGCAGCCATTACCTGCAGGAGAAAGAGATGCTCTGCTCTTAGAGATGGGCTTGTCTCCCCTTTTAGCAGCGTGGAGCGGGACTGAGGTGGTGGGTGCTGGCCAAGAATTCGCTCTAGAGAGGCCAATGCGATTTATTTCTTCCCTGCTGGGAGAGAGGACTGCATCAGGCAGGCGGTGTCCACATCCTCCAGGTGATCTTCTTGTCTTCCCATCAGTTTACATTATTCACTTAGAAATCTTTCTCCCAAGCACAGCTTGCAAACAGCTCATTTGTGGGGCTTGCAGGACTGTCCCAGTGAGCGAGAGCCCAAGTCATCCTGCAGCTTAGCCAGTCATGTGCACATACGGTAAGCATCCCCCTCCACTCTGGTCAGCTGTAGTCTTTAGAAGTACTGACAAGTCAAGAAAGGGTTTAAGTACCTGCTTTTGAATCCTGTTTGGGGAAAAAAAAAAAGGGATTGCTTTTTTCTGAAGGTTTAGTATTTAAAGCACTAATTACATCCCTGTGCCAATAACCATTGCTTATGTGGCGGCTTTTTCCCAACTTCAAGTCATGCAGTTTAGCTGGTATTCCCTTAGCTTTATTCTGGGGAATAACATGAGAAGACTTCATATTCCAGCCTAAGCTGCCTGGAGAGCTCTATAAACAGATTTCCTACAGCTCTCCCTTCTCCAGCCGTGGTGCCTCCTTCCACAGGTTCCTGCAGCAACAGTCAGAACAAAGCCCCGGGTACCTGCACACATCTGCCATCACTGCAGCTGCTCTTGAGTTCACGCAGCTCCCCCCGTTACTTCTGCCTTCCTTTCCTTCCTCTTGACAGCCAAGATGCCCAGAAACACAAAGCACCTTATTTTTTTACAACACTGTGATCCCACGCTGCTCCAGAGAGTTTTTTTCTGGCCCTATAGAGGCAGAAGACAAATTTAACACCTGAGCTGCAAATAGAAGTAACTGGTGGTCTTCTTAGGGAAGCAAGTCTTGCAAATGTAAGGATTACAGAAATGAAACCCTGGGAAGTGCTTGTATGTTATTGCTATTAATACTACTGCTGGCAAGCCTTCCATGTGTGACTTCTCCAGCAATGATGCCGAGCTGCCTCTGCCCAGCACGTGTTAGACCAGGGAAGCCTGAGTGCTCCACTCTTCCCAACCGCTGCCCAGAGCCCTGGCAAGCTGTTGGCTTCCAGGGGCTTCAGGGCCTTGGCACGTCACCAGTGCTGAGACCTGCTGAGCTGCTCCTCACGAAAACCAAGTCAGGTGTGTGTGTGTTAGGGGAATGTGAGGAATGAAGGAGCTCCCTGCTACCTGACCCTCTGGGGAGAGCAGGCAGGAAATCCCCGCTGCTGCCCAGCCGCAGGCAGCGAAACGCTTGGGCGTCTCCTGTTGCAGCCTGCAAGCCTTGTGCTTTCCTACCATCCCAGTTGGAAGGCAACGTGACCCCACTGCCATGAGAGGACTGCTGCCAGAGACCTGCTGCGGGCTGTCTGCAGCAATTAGTTACAGCTGCAGCCAGGAGAGTGCAAAAGGATAATGCCAAGAAGGAAGGAGGTGGAACGGGCAAAACGTGAGAGCCGAGATGTGCCCCGGTGTGGGGGGGGGCAAGGCTGCTGGGATTCCAGGAACGATCTCCAACTCATTTGGCCATTCACGTACAAGCAGTGTGGGAGAAGAAACTGCAGTAGCTTATGTTCTGCTAAGTAAAAGCAGGTGGACCTGGTTTCAGGATAAAAAGCTACCTTTTATTTCCTGGAGCCAGAGGGATGAGCAATGTCATAGGTGCGGGGTAGAGCGAGTGGCCGGTGGAAGCAGGCAGTGCATCATGCCCGTCTGACAGTGTCTTGGCAGCAGTTGCAGGGATTTCAGACATAGCAGCTCATATAGAATTTAACACCCACTGCAATGTGTGGGAGTCACTGCTGGATCAGTAGCTGCTGTTTCAGCCTCTCAAGCACTAAATTGAAGGATTTTAATTATTTTTTTAGAAAAACCTCCTGGCCTCGTTTTCTTCACTGGGGCATTACGCTGTGGGACTTTTGCGTGTGGGGCTAATTAAGGAATGGAGGGGTTCAGGGGTTAATGTAAATGTACTCTGCAAAAGATCTATTTGGTGCTTGAGAGCTGCGTTTAATAAGTAGAAGTATGTTCTCTCTGCTTTGGGAATTCATGGCAACCATCTGAATAAAATTTTAAAAATAAACTCAGAGCAGCATTGCAAATCTTCTACGCCTGAAGGGAACCCACGTATACATTAAAGAATAATCAGGCTGTAGGAATCATGCAACCTCTGGGTTTCACAAAATGCACTCAAGAAGCAGCACATGAATTTCACTGCTAAATGAAGAGGCATTAAAGCTTATCATACAGACTCTAAAATGTCATATGAGCCTTGAAGCTGAGTCATCTTGTAGATAAATCTACAGACAGAAAATAAGAGCTGAACTGATAGTCTTGATTTTGAGAATAAGAGACAATTTTGAAAATGTGCATAAACAGCTTGAGGCCTTTCTAACAGCCTTCAGCCCATGATGTAAGAACAAGAACATCCTGAACCACCTTGAGGAGGAACCACTGGTGAGACAGTCCCCGCTGGGATGCCCGCCCCGTCACAGCTCCTGGTGGGATGGCCGGTGGCTCCCGCTCCCCTTTCTGGGCTCCAGCTGCTCCCTCCTGAGCACGAGGTTGGCATCACCCAATGTCACAGCGGGAAGCATGACCTGGGGGTGGGAGAAAAAGGGGTCTGAGCAATTCCCACTGAGGGGCAAAAGGCTGTAAGAGAGCACAGAGGTGGACGGACAGACGGCTGCTTGGAGAGGAGCGAGCTGTTCCAGCCCGGAGCGGAGCTGTTGTGCTTTGCTGCAAAGGGGGAAACTACCTCAGGAGAGTGGTGGAAGAAAATACAACACAAAAACCACAGTGAGGAAGTCTGTTGGTACCACTGCAGCGTGCCGTTGGGGCCATACTGGTGAATCTTACTGGTGTGGCTGTGCTGCAGTGGGTGAGGACAACCGCAGCGCCTGGGGAGCGAGGGCCCAGCACCCCGATACCGTGACCTCCCTTCAGGGGCTTGTGTGTTTGGGCGTTTTTATTTGGTGGAAATGGAGGTTAGTGGGTCAGCAGTGAGCCCGCAGTGCCTGCTGTGCTTCCCAGCCAGGGTCTCTTAGTTCATCTGGAGAGTCTCAAGGTGATGGGGATGGAGGCAGAGGAAGGAAACAGGATGAAAGGAATTCCTCCCGGGAGATGGTGGTTTGGCTTTGGCTCTCGGATGAAGGAGAATGCTCTACCTGAGGCCAACACAGAGCAGAAGTCTTACCCAGCAAGGGAAAGCTGAACACTGCCAGCATCTGTTTTTGTTGTGCACATCCACGTTTTTTTCTTCACGGGGAAAACGACGTACTAAAGTTGTGCTAATATTGACAGTGTGAATCTATTTTGCCTGGGCTCAGAGGCAATTATTGTTTTAATTTAAGATCAGAGCTTTTGTTTCATCACAGTAATAATTAAAAACAAAACAAACCAAAACTGAATGTACTGAGCTGGAAGGATTTTCTGGCAGTTTACTCTGAAAGGACCAGGAGGTGACCAGCCACCATCGTTCAACCATCAGCAGCTGGTGCTGTTTTGGTTCAGGGCTGCACCAGCGGTCGCTGCTGCCCAGCTGATACAGCAATCATCCTGCTGCGGCTCTGCCACCTGGTTATGGGCTCCTCCAGCTTTAACGACCAGCAAGGAACATGAGACGGGAGGTAGGAAGGGGGAAGCATCACTTTGCCCATAGCTCTTCCTGTCTGGGGATAAAAAATAATCCCTGGGCGTTACATGTGCTTTTCCTGGCTTTAGACAAGCATTAAGACACGGCTTGGGGCCAGTGACAGAAGCTGAGCCCCAGTACCAGGGCTAGATGTGCTTCATGATTTTGTCTTATGAATTAGTGTAATAAACCCTGGAACTGGAATAGAAAATTAATGTTCCTCATCATGACGCAGAGCTTTTGATCTGTGTCAACCTGCTCTGTCCCTCTTCTCCCCCTGCAATGAACACCACGCTGTTCATGCCCACGCTACAGGCCGGCCAAGCCCCTGTGAACAACCTCTTACTTTGGGAGGTCCCACGGTAGTACAAATCACTTGGAAAGAGCAAAAACTGCCTTGTTGCCATTTTCCTCAGATTAATATGCAAATCAGCAGGCAAATGCATCCAAGGAATGTAGGTCATGGTGGTGGAAATGTGCAGAGCAGGAGGAGAAGGGACGAGCAAGAGGGAGTTAGGGGATGTTTCAAAAGGCCGCCTGCACCTTCTGCTGGTGGTTGCAACTTGGGTCTGCTGGAGTTATTCAGCGACTCTTCTGCTGGACCTTGAGTTTGTGATGAAGTGGAAATCTCGTAAGGACTCCTTTGCAGTGCAGGAGTGGCAGCCGGGAGGGCAAAGTCTGTCCCTTTGTATAGAGTCGCAGCTTGAAGCTTGTTTGCAAACCTCTTCAGCGCAGGGTTTTGAGCTGATACTCCTCAGAACAAAATGTGCCGAGGAATGGACAAACCGAGTTATCTTTGGAAAGGCGGACTGAGCCAGGGGCAGACAAACATTAGCTTTGCCGATCTCTGATGCTGCTAAAACTAAAATCTGAGCCAGTTTTGTGTAGGCGCTCCACTGAACGCGCAGCATTTGCAGGTTGTGGATGATGCTGCTCGCACTGCCTACAGGTCTAAAAAAATTATGTTGATTTCAGTTTGGAGTATCAGTACTAACTGTGTGCTTTAAAGACGTGACCAGAGTGATTATCTCCATTTTATAGCAGGAAAAATGAAATGTGGCAAGTAGGCAGGCTAGTAACCAGGGCAAAATACAACCCTGAGCTCCTGAATCCCGGTCCTGTGCCTCATCTGTGCCTTCCCCCAGCACGGGGCAGGAGCGGAGCCCAGGGGGCTAGGGATTTTTGGGTTTATCTTCTCCTGCAGTCAGCTTTGATGGAGCAGAAGGCAGGCCCCGGCTCTGGGCTGGGCCAGAGGTCCAAAGGGCTGCTGGCCCAGCCCATGGCACACGCTGCTGCACAGCCTCTGCCCACAGCAGCCCTGCCCTCGGCTCTGGCACTTGTGAAAGCATCCTGGCTAAACTTCCCAGCTGTCACCCAGTCACGTGAAAATCCTCCTGCTTTTAACCGGATTGGGCTGAAATTAAGGGAAAGAGTGAAATTAAGGAGAATCTGTCAAGCTGAGGGATTCATAAAACAGTCCCAGCCTTAGTCTCTGCCAGGAAAACACTCCCAGGATTGTCCTGCAGTGTCGGTTCCAGAGCGTAAACAGCAACACAGGGAACCAAGACCCAGAAAGGCCGACAGACTGGTTTTACAAAAATATATATTGCATTTAGTTTGAAGTAAGATTACAGCAGTGCATTCTCAATACCTCTCAGTATTTGTTTGCACCTGAAGTCATACACATCACAGCCTGCCTAAATACTATCTTTTCCTTAATCTGCTCAACAAGGAGGAGGAACGAGCTGAGTCACCGCATAAACTTGTTGGCAGAGCCTGGCCCACCGCACCCACCGCACCCGACCTGGTGAGCTCCCCACCTTCATGTCGCAACCCTCCTGCCAAGCCTCCAGCTCCCCGGGGAATGCTGTAAGGACAAAGGCTCTGGGGTTGTTGCTGGGCATTTTTCTATCACACCAGCTCATCGCTGTGATGCCTCCAAGGAAGGAGTAGTGCAGAATTTCCTTGATGACACATGTTGCAACGAAGTCTTATCTCAGCTGTGACTTCTTGCTTTTCCCTTCCTACAACAATACAGCAATGAAACCTTCTCCCTATTTTCCTTATGGTGAAGTTACAACCATGCTTTACAAGCTGGTCGGTTGTTTGGTTTTTTTTTGTTTTAAACAGAAAACACTCCATCCTCAAACCTTGCCTCCAATTCACGTAGGTTTTACTCAGAATTAGCACTAAAAATTCAGCTATGTTATTCGAACAGGTATCAAGCATATACCCATAACTAATGAACAAACTTTGCCGTAAGGCCAAGTCAAACCAGGGAGCGTTTCCAATTCACGTGGAAACAAAACACATTTACCAGGCAGCCCCAGTCCTGCCAGTGCCTCGGACACAACACGAACGCACACCCGTGCTTCTGTGGTTTCAGTAAATACAGGAAAAGTGTTTAGTGTCAGTAAGCTTGGGAAGACTTTTTAAAACAGAGCAACAAACTTTTTTTTTTTTTTTTTCCTGGAACTCTGCAAGCTGACATAGTGCAGCACAAAGCCAGGTTTTGAATGGCCACGCTGGTCAATGGTCACACCGGCAGCTATGGAGCAAACAGGATTTTATTGTTTTTTTAAGCCCTACTCCAGATATGTAAATCATGAGGTGCTTGATCATTAATGTTTGCTTAACAACTTAAACAGTTCAATACAGAAGCAGACCAGTGCAGAATAATCCAGTCTCTTCCAAGGGCAGGTGGATCAGACCCCTCTGCAATCGCTGCTTACACTCCCAACGAATGTCACCAACTCCAGGGAATTCAGGGAGAACGTTTCACAGTAAAACAGGGCAGTGCCTCCATCTTCCGCACAGTCCTACAGCATTCCGTGCCCAGCATTTGGGAGAAGCCAATTACAGCCAATTAGAAGTACTAGGCTTAATTCAAGGCTGAACAAAACATTCTCAAAGTCACTGACTTGGAAAGAAAGGCAAAGCATGCAAACAAAGGTTTCAGTAGAGAAACCGAAACACCTGGCGGGGCTGAAAAGCAGAGCAAGCGCAGTATCGCCATCACCTTCGTCACCTCTGACTTGCACAGGGTTTTAGTTACATTTTTAGAGAAAATATGATGGTTTAGCAGACTGGCCCCAGACAGTTTCTGTTCTTAGCTCTGCCTCTTCACATTAACCAAATAGTAATTAAAAAAATAGTAATCTCACTGCAAAGGTATTACTTAACCTGCAGTTAGCATGCTTTTTGGAGCTGTGCGTAGTTCTATATATAGAACAATTATGTTTATAATAGAGAAGAAGAAGAGTTAGTTTTAGACCCATGATTCATGCTGTTGGGATAAACATTGCGTTAAGAGGTCATGCAAACATTCTATCATGAAACACCTAACATAACATAAAGCCCAATTTTGTAAATATTGTAAATAGGTCAAAATCAAAGGCCAAGTTTTAAATAAAAAGAATCAGACATACAAGCCTAACTTTGCTTCCAGTTGGCTACTTGGAAACTCTGCGGGATCCGATTCCCAGTTTTCAATTTGGTTTTTCACTATCAAATATCAACAAGTTTTTTATTCAGATTAAGTGATTGAACTGTAGTCAAGTTTAAATGTTCACAGTATCATCAAGACATGTGGTTAGTACCACCTGATCAAAAAGTCTTTCAGGAAGAGAAAAAAAAATTTTAAATGCTAACCTAGCTTTCAAACTGAGGTAGACAGGTCATGGTGACTTGAGTGCTGAGGGGTTTTTATTTTTTTGAAAATTGTTCATCTAATAAAATGCATTAGGCAACAATTGAGAGTGTTATGTTAGTATTTCTGATAGTAAGAAACTTTGTTATGAAAAAGTACACATTTTTTTTTTAAATAGAAATATTCCTCTTCTGTTACCAAAATAATCAGGAACATCATAGAAAACTATGCATCTTTCCTCTAGTATAAGTCTGCTATATAACAAGCCATGTTAAAGTAGCCAGCTACCAGCTTGCTGTTCACAGTGTAGAATATGCAATTCTTTACCTTACTTTTGCTCACCAGCCGAAGAACCTGATCAAGAAGGCTGTACCTTATTCATTGTAACCTGTTTACACACAGAGGTTGTTTCAGTTTTTCAAGCATTAAGTAGAAAGTCTGTGGTCTCCATCGATACATCATCAGGACAGTACATACAGCATGTATAGCACTTGCCGGGCAGCTCCCTTTCCCCAGGCATCTGTGAGCTGGGTTCCATCCAGTGGCCTCTGGAGACAAGACCCTATCGCTGATTTAGTCAAACATCCAAAAAGGCAGACACGGGGAGAAGAAATCCAAGCTGCTTCCATGAGAGAAAATCGAGACCCCAGTCACATTATTAAAATGATTTTGATCCCAAGAAGGCAGAGGCTAGTGGCCAAAGAACAGCTCAGAAACAGGTCTGCGCTTCACGACGACTTCCTCTTCCTCCTCCTCCATTACCTCGGAGAGGGAGGAGTATGAAGGGAAGCCCCCTCTGGTCTTTGGCTTCCTCCTTGGGCCTGTAGTGGCAGCCAGGAGCTTGTTTAAGGATGAGGGCTTCCTCAAACCTTTGGTGAGATCACAGAAAGCCATGTCATCAGATATGACCCCCAGGAAAGTGCTAGTGGAGCTCAAGATTGAAGCCGCCAGCTTTGTGGTCTTCTTGATGGGCACGGAGGGCTCCACGTTGTGGGAAAGGCTGGGGTCCCCCAGCAAGCGCCTGACCGTTGAGGAGGCCCCTTCCTTTAAATACTGGTGCGGCTTCTTCCCGCTGTAGTCCCTCAGGTCGGTCTTGGCGTGGTAGCTGTAGACCAGCATGGTGATGATCTTCTCCTGGCCGTGTATGGCGGCCAAGTGGAGCGCCGTGTAGCCGCCGTGCGACCTGGCATCCACGTTGACACGGGCCCCCCCTTTCTCGGCCGCCCGGATGATGTTGGTCACCATGTCGCAGTTGCCGCTCTTGGCGGCCCAGTGCAGGGCAGTGAAGCCCGAGATGAAGTCCCGCCGGGCCGCCAAGCTGGCGTCGCCCAGCAGCAGCCCGTGGAGCTGCTGGGTCCACTGCCCATCGGCCGCCATCACCAGCCACTGGTGCTCGGCCTCCTCCAGAGGCACCGCTGCCATCTCCTCGCCGGCCCGATGGTTTTTGAGCCCCCGCCGCAAGCCGGGCGAGCGGGACCCGGCCTCCTCCTCCGGCAGTGTTGGGGGTGATAAGGGGGACCCCGGCTCCTCGGGCGGCCCTGGGGCGGTGGGGGGTGGCACGCAGCGCACCGGCAGCATGCAGGGCTTGGGGAGCGGCTCCCGCCGGGACCACCCGACACCAGCGGGCAGGGGGACCCCACCACCGCCGCCCTGGAAGAGATCCCGCAGCTCGGAGACAGCCCGCGGCCATGGCTGCTCCTCGGGGGGGACCGGCGAGAGCCGCCCGGCTGGGACGGGCAGGGGGACGCCGCCGGCGCCATCGCCCCCCGGCGCCAGCGCGGCCCCCGGCGGCGGGGCGGGAGGACGCAGCTCCCGCCTCAGGACGACGAACTTGGCGCCGTCGCGCTCCTTCACCACCGCCACGGCGTTCACCGCCGCCTCGAACCTCTCCCGCCGCCCCGCCGCCGCCGCCGCCCCGCCGGCCTCCACCAGCGGCCGGAAGGCGCTCACCAGCTCGGCGTTGCGCACCCGCCCGCCGCGCTCCCGCAGGAAGCCCAGCACGGCCGCCGGGCTGATGTCGAGCTCCGCCATCCCGCCGCTACCACAGGTGATGGTGGAGCCGCCGGCACCCCCGCGGCGGAGCGGAGCGGAGCGGTGCGGAGCGAACCGAGCCCGCCCCGCCCTCTTCCCCTCAGGGGCTGAACCGCGGTTTGCAGGCGGGGAGGCACCTGCGGCGGCCCCCGCTGAGGTGATCGGGCCGCCCCGCTCCGCCCCGCCGCCTCCCTCCGAGGGAGAGGAGCGGCACCGAGCGCCTGTCTCCTCCCGCGGGGCGGGACTGAGGGGGGAACCGCCCGGCCCCGGAGCCGCTGAGGGGGAGGCGGGAAGAGCGGCGGCCTGAGGCGGCGGTTTGCCGCGCTCCCGGCTCCCTCAGGGAGCTGAGGCGACGCGTGTCGGTATCGGCTCCTCGTGAGGCTCCTCAGGCAGAGGCAAACGCTTCACTGATTCCCGGCTCTTCCAAGTTCCGAAAGCGGCTTGGGTTTGGTTGGTGTCAGTAGCGCGTAAGTGGCGCAGCTTTAGGTGGAAGCCGCTCTGCAAAGTCGGGTCTCCGCTCGCCGAGAAGCCTCCGGTGTTGTGCGGGTGCTGTGAGGCTTGTGGGTTAGAGTCTCATGCCTCAAAATAAGTCAGAAGTGGATGTGGCAGTCTTTTGAAAGATGTTCAACTCCATGTGCTAATGTCTATATTATACCTGTTCTCTAGGTCCTTTACCTATATTGCATCTACAATGTACACAGGTGTGTATGTGTATCTATATAAATGATGAAATCTTTACAACGTACCTGCATCTATTCACGTACAGTGGAGAAGAGAGAGCTCTTTTTACAAAGAGAGGAGCTGCCTCTGCTGTCATATCAATTACCTCTGCTTAAGCATTGAACATTATTATTGTTCTCTATTCTACACGGGGGAAAAAAAAAAAAATCCCTGACAAATGCCTTTCCCCAGGCGAAGGAGTAGGACTGAAGACCTCCTGGAGGGATGACGTTCAGCCCGCAAACTTGTTTTCTCCTCCACTGAGTGTTACAATTGAGATCACTAAATCAGTTCCTGAATGACTGAACAGTTTGCCTAGGAAAAAAGCAAGAGAGGCTGAACACAGAATGAACAGTCAGTGTGGTATGAAGACAGATAAAAGCAACTGTCTGTACAAGGATGGATAAGAAAATAGAAAATACATTCGGTTTTGTTTTCACTGGTTTAGAACCTGAATAAAATGGAGTATCAGCCTGTGCCAAAGTGTCCATTTTGAAGGCAATTTGAGGTATGTCAGTCCCCATGCAGTGCATCTCTCTCCCTCCTCATTGATGCTGACCTCCCTTCTGCCGCTCCACACCTTTTACTGCTGGTGGAAAAGCCTCTCCTCGCAGATTGCTCAGAGTCTTCCTTTGGCAGTCTTTCCCCTTCTCCCTCCATCTTTGTGCAAATCTCTGAAAAGCTATTTTATCTCTTGCTAACAAGATGGCACCGAGCCAGTTCCTCAAAATCATTTTGCTGCTCTAATGTTCTTTCACATAATGGTGTGTAATCTTCGTGCTGCTTGCAGCAGTTCAGTATTTCTACATGAATCGCACACCTCTTATTACTGCCCTTTTACATGGCATACACAGCAACCTTGCCCTCTGCTGAGGCAGTCACTTCTGTCTGGTGTTCTACGGGGTTAGCAACGCTTTCTAGCTTGTGGCATCACCACAGTTCTGCCTGGCCTACTGTAGAGAGCTAATAATGAGCGTACATCCAAACATTAATTGCTATGCTTTGCTTTCACTGTTGATTTCTTTTCCTTACTAGAATCTACTGCCGGCATAAAATCTCAGCACTCCGTGATCTTTGCATTTCAAACTTTCAGGTACACCCTGGGATTATAGTTCACAGCTGCAAATGAGTGAGAGGAGGAGGGAAAATAATTGAGAAGAATAGGCTCTTTTGAAAAACATGTTCTTATGTTACAGATGTTAAAGGAGACGTTGTTCCTATTGCTTGAATGGGTTCAGGTGCACAGCAGGGCACATCCTCGGGCTCACCGCTACGCCGAGGGCGTTTCTGTGGGTGCTGCACTCCATCCCTGCCTGCACAGGCATAAGCCCCACTCCTTCAAGGCCCTCGACGGTGCCATCAGATCCCACCTGTGTTATCCCCAGCCCAGCACCTCCCCTGCAGAGGGGTCTCCGAGCACCAGGCCCCCAGGAAGACTCACTGCTCAGCACCCAAGGGGACAACCCTGGGGTCTCCGAGTTTGTGTTGCGTCAGGGTCCCAAAGGACGAGTGTTGCTGAGACTGTTCCCCATCGCAGGTCCTGGTGTTCCTTGTGGCCACAGAGCAGGAGGGGACATCCCCAGGAGGTCATAGAAGAGAGAGGACATCTGCAAGCGCACCCCGGGCCATGCCAAGTGTGAACTGGTTGCTCTCGTTTAACTGCCCTGACGCAAGGAGCTCTTTCCCCAGGTAATTTTCCGGTGATGCATCCAACCGCTTGTCCCACGTGCACTCGCTTCATCCTTTGTGGACAACCCATGCCGTGTGGTTGTGCTCCTTTTCAGTCTGTCAGCATGTGTTAGGTTAGTCCTGTACTTTCTGTAATTAAGAAGGAAACGACACTTCTGGTTAATCCTCCGTACCATCTCCAGACGGCAGCATGGGGCGCATCCTGTTTGCCAACCTTTCCCTTTATCGGTCGATGCCTTTTGGTTGCCTACCTTTCAGGCTGAGTGCCGAGCACCCAGGGACCAGATCCCAGTGAGCTTCTCTTAGTTGACTGAGCACTGGTCAGTCTGTGCTATTCTGATCTGACTGTGCAGCAGAAATTAAGCTGTCTGAATGGATTTTATTAATGCAGATAATAAAAGCCTGGAGCATTATGGGTGTTATGCTCATCAGTCATCCAAAATTTCCAGCCTTAAAAATCATGAGAAGTTTTGATTCTTTTTCTGTGTCACCCAAAACCTACAAAGCAAGTATGTTTTGTGGGGCTATTTACAGAATACTGTGGGCTGCGTCGTAGGAGATTTCAAGCCAACCATCTTGATATTTTTAATTTACTGACTGGGACAAAAACAAAGAAAACACAGAAACCTGTGATTAAATTAATTTACTACTACTTTTTTTAAACACAGATATTGCAGTTTGCTAGTTCTATGTCATAAACTGTAGACAGCTGGCCTCTATTTATAACTGTAAGACTGAGGAGAATTACCTTTCCCATGAAGAAATTTCACAAACTTTCAAACTGTCAACATTACAGTGGAATAAACTGGATAGAGAGGCTGGGGCCTTTTCCCATCCCCTCAGGGGAGGAAGGTAGAGGTTATATGACTGTAGTTATTCACACTGCACAAAACCAGGAAATAAAGAGGGAGATCAAGCAAAGCATCTAGTCAGAGCAAAGAAGTTTCTACTGACACTTCAGAACTGAAGGAGATGGCATCCCAGGTCCTGCTCCTTCCCGCATGATATTCTCAGAGCCACAGGGAAGCGGAGATGCCAGGTTGGAAGCAATGAGGGAAGAAAAAGGGAATATGGGGAATAGTCTCAGTCAGACAGGATGCTGCTGCTGTGCAGAAAGGTGAAGCTTAGGTGCTATGGACTACAGATGGGATTTGTACCTCAAGCAAAACTTACTTTCCTCTGAAATGAAATCAGGGTTCCGGGAATAAATAGGATGACAAAGCCCATGATTATCCACTTTCCTTGTTGATATTTTCATGTGAAACAAAGAGCATGCATTGTGAAGGAAAATAGCTCTTCCTTTGTTCCATGGAGAAATGCAGTAACCTTCTATAGATAAACAACTGAGCAAAAGTGTGGGGGGGGGGAGGGGGGGGGGGAAGAGGGAAGAGAGATTATTTGCAGATAAAAGGCATTTTCTCATAAATGAGCAAGGTTCAGCTGTAACTCAAGGACCTCAGTAACTGGTTTGGACAGTGTTTCTCAACATCAACCATTCAAATGCAGTTTTCCATGCATCTTAGAATTTGTATTTATTAAATATGCTTGTTCTGCACAGATGATGCAAGGGCCCATCCCAAACATCCTCTGGTTTTCAGATGGCACCTGTGAACTTGATGGGATTCTAGCAGGAGAATGCAAACCTGGCAAGAGGTACAGTGTGCTAATACTGCCTTTAGCATTAGGAGGCAGGGAAATTTGGGGTCTGTTTCCAGCCATCTCACTTACATTCACTGGGATCACTCTGTGCATAGGGAAAATGGACCTACAGGTCCTATTGACTTTCAGCTTACAAGGGTAGCACTTCTGAAGAAACGCCTTGTAAGTCACATATATTGTCAGTATAACCAATTAAAGTTTAATAAATTAAAGTTTAATAATTTAATAACTTGGTGGTAGTGCTGCTAAAAGAGTAGCTGTGAAACCATTTGATTTCTGATAATCCCCAGGAGGACACATTGTGAGAAATGAATAGTTAGCAGTAAGCTGCTTCCTCCAGCATGGGTGGAAAACCATGAAGGAGTTCTGTTTATCTGCACTACCTGGATTTGAAGATCAAGGATTTTACTCATCCCTGAAAGATGCAGCCATCTTCAGGAGACCTTGATCTCTCCTGTATTCATGTGGCAGGTAGGATGATCACTGGCTCCCTGCGGCTGTGTGTGAGGTAACAGGGCCTCTGTTCACATTTATTTCTCTCCACTTTCATTGCCTGTACCCTGGGTCACAACGTCAAGAAGTAAAGCAACTCCTGCTGATCTCCCCACCATCAGAACTGTGCTGCAGCAATGCCACCATCCACGCAGTGAGGGGCATTTTCCTTCCTCTCTCCTGGACAAAGGTTGCAGGGACACATTTGTGTCTCTCTAGTCCTTTGTATCCTCTGCTCCAGCTCTTTACCTGCAGAAAATGCACTGTTCATTCTAAATTCACTGTGGATTTAGTAAGTACAGATATTCCAGAGTTTAAAATCTTTGCAGGATCATCCAGCACTGTAATATACATTTAATTCCTGAGCCATTAGGGCTAATTTGCATAACAACTGATGCCTTAGCTGTTAAAGGAGCCACCAAATCCTCTTCTCTTGAAGCAGTTTTTATGCATCTAAGGCTTTTGAAATTAACAGGGTTTCTCTGGAATTGACATTAGAAATAGTGTGCTTTTTAAAATAACAGTGTTTAAAAATAACTGCGAGCTTTCACACAGTGCTCTGCTGTCACAGAGATGTCCCATGCTGGTGGCAGTGCTGGTGGACAAAGGGAGAGGACTCCAGTTGCAGAAGGTCTCAGCAGCACAGCTCAGTTGGGGAGCCAGGAGGCAGCAGTGCTGTCCCTTGATCTATTGCAGTGTCTCAGAATTTCCTTTATGCTGTGAATCTGCATCTGACCTGCAGCACACAGAAACCAGCAGCTGTTTGGAAATTAGCTTTTTTGAGCCTTGTGTTGTTACATTCTGCAATTTATTGACAGGGAAAAGAGCTCTTAATGAAATCTAAGTCAATCACTTCTCCCAAAATATCTGGCATAATGGCGTTTAAGTGTGTGCTAAGCAACACTTTTAGATTGTCTTAAATCCAGACTCCCAAGCTTGCCTGTAAAGTAAAAAAAAAAAAAAATTAACCTTTTTATCTGTTTATTTTTGTTTCTTTGTGACATATAAAGAAGGCTTGGAAAGTTAACTCTGCTTCTTTATAAACTGTTCTACCTGCATCTGTACACCAGAAATACCAGATTTTAGCTTCACCATTTTTGCTGAAGGACCTAGGGAGAACTGGAGAACCTTGGGGAATCAGCCAAAGAAACAAGGCGGCAAAGTGAGTGTCTGGTCTGCACAAACATCTGACTCGCAAGGGATAAATGAATAAAAGGTTCAGCAAGCTTATAGCACTGCTGTGGGTGGAGAGAGACTCGGTTCTCCATGCCAAAGACCAGCAGGCCAGCTTTGGCATCCCTGGCAGCTCCAGCACAAGGCAGCATTAACAAAGAGCTGCGGCTGTGCCAGGAAAAAGGTTGGAGGTTTTTTGTCATTTTCGGTCACCCAAGAAAATAAATTAACAGATGGTGTTCAGTGATGGCCTTTGAGAGAAGTACAACATTTCTGCAACCTGTCTTTAGCCAGGACTAATACATGGGTTAGCAGAATTCATTTGGTCATAGGCAGTCTGCTGAGGAAGGACAGAAGAATAGTTCTTCTGACCTGCACTAGATTTATCATATTTCAAAAGGCAGATCGCTTGCATAACACCTTTTCAGAAAATGCCTTGAAATTGCTCAAAGGGAGAATACAACTTTCTTCCTAATCTCTGATTCCTCTAAGCACTTGCATTTGATAACCATTGCCCTCTCCCTTCAATTACCTACATCTGATTTTCATAGCCCGCTTTATTTCTCCAGCATAAGCACAGTCCCCTTCTGGGATGAACGGTGCTTCCCAGCGCTCCTTCAGCGCAGTGCAGGTGGATCCCAAGGAGTCTTGGGAAGAATCAAAGATGTGGAGATGTAAAATACAATCTTGCACACCTGCTGCAAACAGGGCAACTCAGAGCCCACCAGCACAGCATGCTCTCATTTCTTTATATTGCTGTGGGAGCAAGAGACCTTTAGGATCACAAATAGCGCGTGAGGGAGAAGGCAGAAGTTAATATGGAGTGCAGCTCATCAAGTATTGTAATGAACCGTAACTTCTGTTTTAATTTGGTTGCTGAGGTTTGGTTGTCTTTGAATACTTCAGTCCTGCTTTACGGCACTCCAGGGACTGTGCTTTTGTGGGCGATGAATGGAAGGAACTGAGATATCGGGTATCTTTGCTCTTCCACATCTTGCCAAAAAGTTGGAATTTGGCAAACCTTTTGAGAAATAACTGGAAATGGGGCCTAAGCACAGCTGCTCACTGTTTCCTAGTAATTGGGGTGGGGCTTGGAGCTCCAGCTGTATCATAATGAGGTGATGCCTGTATTTGTGGTCCTCCCTTGTGCAGGATGTTGCAGGTGATTGAGGAGCATCTGAGTGGCAAGGATGCATCTGCGGGACAGAGCTGCTCCAGGTGAGCCCTCCCTGGTCCGTTCCCTGGGGGGTGGTGACGTTGTGTGCTGCGGCTAGCGTCCCACATCTAGCATAGCTTAAAGAAAAGGTCAGGCTGCGAACTGAGATTCTCGAAGGCCAAACTTCACCAGCAACAACCACAAAGATGGGACAGCAGGTTCTGGCCCTGCCTGGGGAGGGGAGTGGAGCATCAAGCCTCAGGCTGTATCCAAACTTACCTCGATTCCTTAACCCTGCCCCACCGCTGGTGCGTGCGCTGAGCAGCGAGGCAGCCCTCAGGATGGTATTTGAGGAGCAGATGTGTGTCCAACGGCGGTGAGAGACACGGGGTTGGGCGTGTGTGTCTGGAGCTGCGGGGGAGGGATTTCTGCTGTGCCTTCAGGAATTGCATAGGAGCCGCTGCCCTTTTGCACGGAGAGTAGCTTTTCTCTGGCTCTCATGTGTAGCGAGTTGCAGGACAGCTCACTCTTCTTGCGGGGGGATTCAAAATGACCCTCAGCAGTCCTTTCCCCTCCCCAGAGTTGGTGTCGTGGGGGAGAAGTATTTGATTGTTTTGCCTAAACTCAGCTCTCCAACTGAAAGTACGCATTGCTCCAAGAGAGAGGATGAGGAGAAAAGATGAGGACACAGAGGCTGATCGACTGGGAAAAGCCTAGGACAAAACCAGGGCAGCGGATTGGGGGTGCAGGTCTGGTCTGGTGACCCAGCTGCATGACGGAGAGAGCATGTGTCTCTGGTGAGCTGTTCCTTGGTAGGTGCACTGCAGCAGAGGGCACCAGAAAGCAAGAGAAACTTTGCTCTCTACTAACAACTTGGAAAATACTAACGCCCTTGTGGGATACAAGGACGCAGGGTGCTGGTGATGGGCTTGGCTTTGTGCTTTATGTGGGAAGGAAGGAGACTCCACGGTCCTCTGTTGTGTACTTTAACTTACCATAAACGCAGGCTGCGAGCTCTCAAACCCCATGCCGTGGTTGCAGTGTTGGTGTAGCTGCCGTGTGACGGAGGCACTTCAGTGCCGAGTTACTGCTGCCCTGGGCTAGCCGGCGGCCTTCCCCAACGCTCGGGAGCTTCTTGAGATGGGGCTCTGCGTGCCCGCGCCCACCCTCCGAATCCTGCGGAGGAGGATGCTCCTGGCGCTCCCACCCTCCCGCTCAGAGCCAAAGCTTTTCCGAGGCGGGGGCGATGCAGTGTGGCTAGCTCACAGCCCCCCCCCCCCCCCCCCTTCGCTGCCGTGGGTTCGGGCCGACTCCCGTCGGGGGCAGCTTGCGGGGGGGGGAGGGGGGGCACCGGGGTCTCCCCCAGCCTCTCTCCTGCTCCCCTTGCGCGGCGAAGCCGAGGGCCGCGGAGGAGGCGGGAGGGCCGGGCTGAAGCCAGCCTGCTCCCCGCCCCTTCCCGGTGCCGGTGCCCGGCCCTCGGTCCCCCCGGTCCTGTGTGGCGGGCGGCGCCTGTGGCGGGCGGAGGGGAGTTTCCAGGAAGTGGCCATATTGGATCCATTCAGCCGCATCCACCCGCGGCGGGGAGAGCCGCGCTCCCGCCGCCGGAGCCCCGCCAGCCCCGGCCATGGCCGCCACCGACCTGGAGCGCTTCTCGGTGAGCTGCGAGGGGGGCCCGAATCCTCCCCGCGTCTCCTCGGGAAAACAACTTGAGGGTTTCTTCTCCCTCGGGGTGGTGGTGGTGGGGGATAATCCGGCCGATGGTGGTGTGAGGGACGCGCCGGGGAGCCCGGGGCGGGGGGGGGAGTGAGGTTTGGGAGAAGGGGCGAAGCCGGCGGGGTGCGGGGGGAGGTCCTGCCCTTGCGCCCCGGGCTGGGAGGGGGCTGCGAGGCCTCGGTGCGTGGTGTGATGCCGAAACCGGGGAGGAAAACCTGTCGTGCTCCCGCCTTGGGTGTCCGAGGTGCTCGCAAAAGGTGTCCGGGATCCGTGTGTCTGCAGGCACCAAGTACCCTGCAAAGGGGGGCGGACAGAAACGGGGTCAAACCTTCCTAAATAAGAATTGTTTACTTACCACTGGTATCCAAACACACTGAAGCAGTGGGGCGACGTAACGGTGTGTATAAATACTGTGAGAGACCCACGGATTCAAACACGGGTAAAGCAAACCCTTGAGGCTAACTGCTCTCTGAGCCAATGTATGAAGAATGCTGTATAGCAAATATGGAGCGTGACCTGTGCACCGCCGCCTCTCTGCAGCTCACATGTTGTATAACTGCTATCGGAAGTCAATCTGGCTAAAATCTGTGTCGGTTTAAAACTATTCTTTGTCTACAGTTTGAGTTTTTTGTTGTTGTTGGAAAGCTGTTCTAATTAAATAGCTCGGTGATGTGTCTCGTAGCCTTTCAGAGCGAAAAACATTCTTACCACATTAAATAGCATAGCTCTCAAAAGTCAAAAATGTCTGGTGTGATATTGCTAAATAAATGGGAACAGCAGTGGTGGTTGTCTGAATTATAGGCATGCCGTTTGAGCACAAACAAGTCCCTGCTACTGTTTTCTCTGTAAACTACTTTTTGCCAAGAATCTCAAACTCTGCTTCGTTTCTTTGAATCCTGGCCCAAAAGTTTCCAGCTCAAGAATGAATTTGCAAGACTGTAACTTACTTAAAATTTGCACAAAGGAAAATTGATTATGGGCTCTTATTTAAGAAAGCAAATGCGTCTAGACTCTGGGGAGAGGGGATTAAGGTAAACCCTTAGTGGCAGGGAATGGAAACACCGTAACTGTCTCACTACAATTCTTTCTGCAATTGTATCATATATAAATACTTTGACTGTTAATTTGGTGTGCCTGTGCAGGTTTTCATAGGTGTTACAGGAACATGATATAGTGCCAGGCCGGGAAAAAAAAGAAACTGGATCTTGCATTCTGTGGTGTGGGTTCTTGAATGCTTGGTGTACCTGCGTCAATATTGTGTCACTTTTATTGAAAAAAGGAGAGGGGGGGAAAAAATGTGTTCCCGAAGGTGCTTGGCTCTCATTTGGGCACCAAAGTGAAATGGCTGGGCTCCAATGCGACTTTAGTGCCAATTCCATTAGGAGAAAATCTGCTTACTTTGTGCAGGGAGCTAGGGTGAGTTTAGAGGGATCTGCAGGCCCAGTAGATCTGGTGATCTGCTGACCTTTGCCTGTGGGCTAGCTTGCCTTTCGCCTGGAACCAGGGATTGGGCAGAAGTGGGTGGGAGAGCAATATCTCGTTTCCATTTGAGGTAGAGCAGAAGACTGTCCCAGTTGCTGTTTCCTTTATCCTCAGCACATGTCTTGGCTCTGATGGTGTTCCTCTGGCAGCATCATGGAACCCTGATGATTAAAGTGTCGTGAGTTGCTCTTTCTGCAGGGTTTACAGCCTTCTTGGTGACACTTTATATCGCTGTGCCTCAGTTTCCTGAGCATGAAGTCTGGGTGGGAACAGCTCATTACTGCCTTGAAGAGGTGATGATAAATTGATTTATTTTTACCAGCTGTTTGTATCTGCAGTGGGAAGTAATGTTGAAAAAGCCTCTGAAGGAGGTTTTTGATACACAGTAGGTCGTGCTATTCAGATTGGTGAAGCTATTTATAAGTGTCCAGCTGACACTTGACATCCTGGAATGTAGTGACCCTTAGGTTTGGATAATGTGTTTTCAAAACTCCCCAGATGCATGCTTCCCTTGTACAGTCCTCCAGAATGCCTCTGTCTCCCGCACAATAAAGTTCCCTTGAAGTGCTGCTGTTGGAAATGACCAACGAAAGCAAATGAAAGGAAGCTCGCCCATAGAAAGCTGTCTCTGCGACAGCAGAATCACACCAGTGGTGCTCAAGACTGCCTTTGTTTTTGTGAATGTAATGTTTGTGAGAGAGATTGGCTTCAGCCCCTGGAGACTGAAGTTTTCTGCTGATCTGCCCCAGGAATGTGGCTCACCAGTTCAGGGCTTGGTCTGCCGACATTGCTTCTGGATACCCAAGGCCAGTTCTCTTCATTACAGTTACCACCAGAGTGGAAAGCAAACTGGTAAAGTTTGGTTCCATAATGAAATACTTTAATTTGTCATTAAAGGTCAGAGCTTCTCCATCACCTGTTCTGGCCAGTGCTGAGCTAGCACACATGATGACTGTGTGCTGGAGCAGACACTGGCAGTATTAGCAAGGATGTTGAGCGGGAAACAACCCAACCACCATGTGCAAGCAGAAGCCAGAAAATGCGTGAAATGCAGCAGGGAAATGCAGAAGTTCTGGAGGAAGCTAGAAAAGCTGGAAGGAGCAGAAGTGACGGAGAAGCGACTGGAGATGCGTAGGAGAATAAATGGGATGAGATGTGAGACTGAGACTGCAGGACAGTTCTGCTTTTGAGAAGCTTTTGCAAACCCCCAAACTTGTTGCTTTCTCTCATCTTTAATTAAACCCATCAACCTCCCCAAATGCTGTTGCTTAACAATCTGCGTTAACCCATTGTCTGGCTTGGAGGTGCTAAGGCAGTTACTTGGGTTCCAAGGTAAGCAGCTGCATGCTCTCAGACACATACATGTGAGGAGGAGCCGGTGTCTTCAGCCTTAAGGCTGGGCTGAGATAAGAGTTCAACATTATGCTGTAAGTTTGGAAAAATGTCACAGCTGATTGCTTTGTGTGCATACTGTGACTGCGTGCACGGACAAGCGGTTTGTCAACATTGATGCCTAGTGAAGAGGGCACTGGCTCCATGCACGTAGCTGTGTGTGAGCTGTGGTTGCTGTCTACCTGTTGTCCTGAGAAGATGTCCCTTCAACTTAGTGATTGATAGCTAGGCTATCAAAGGTAGCTTTACTATAAATTAATGCCCCTTGGAAGATCTTGCTAGAAAACCCACCACTTTATAGAGAAGAAGGCTGAATAACATCTTTCTCACTGGCAATAGACAATGAGATTTTTTTTTTTGTCGCAGCAAGCTGCTGAGCTGGGGGGGGTCAGGCCAGTTTGGCAGCTTCGTGTGAGCGTTACCTGTTTACACACCACTGCCTTCTTGTGACCTGCTCCCAGCTCTGGGGGAGGAGAGGGACCTTTGAGCCGTGCCTGTTCCTGCCACAGCTGCCTGGGTTGTGAGAAACTTCATGCATTTTTGCTGCTGCTGTCTTCTGTGAGCTCGTGCTTTTACTGACTGCACGGCCTAAACCCACTCCTTGGTGGGAAGGGGCCAGCGTTGTCCCTTAGTCTGTGAAAGACAGGCATGAGGAGTGGGCTGAGAACAGCTCTGTGTACTGTGGCTAGGGCAGAGTTGGTTGCCAGAAGACTTATCACTGCAGGTCCTAAGCACAGGCTTACATTTTCTTTTAATCATACTCTCAAGGAAAACATTTCCATGGCTCAATTCCAGTGGAAACTGGGGTTTGTTTGGACTCGGCTCTTCCCCCTGCCCTGTTTTTTACCCAGCCAGCGGCACCATTTGGAAGTTCCAGGGTTAAATTTTCTTGTCTGTTTTTGTCATTCAATTATTTTACCTTTAGCCTGGAAAAACTCAAGTGATCCCCCATACAGCGTGGAACAGAAGTGACAGATTTTTCCCCAAGCTGGTAACATGGACCAGGAAGCGAGCCCAGCAGGAGCAACCCTGTTCCTCCCTGCCCTGGCCAGCTTCTTCTGCCTGCAGCCTATGCTTTTTTGGGAAGGAGGGATGGAGAAAATGGTCTTCCACTGGAGGAGACAAATTGGTGGTTGCCTCTGTGAGCCCCAGAATCCCTCCCTGGGAGGCTTGCCTGTGCTCATACAGGAAGCCAGCTCTGACTTTCAACCACAGGACCAATTATCTCAACCACAGTCCACTGCAGTTAAACACTTATTTTGAATGTGTACGGTGGGAACAAATGTTGCCCAGAAAAAGATTTTATTTTTTTTTTCCCCCTTCCCTGCTGCGGTGCTGTTGCTGTCATTGAATCCAGAGTGTCTCTTCCCCTTGCAGCAGAGATGCAACATGTTGTTCTGCGTGGGAGCTCCAGAGCTGCTCTTAACCGCTTGTAATCTCAGCGAGCGCCGAGGCAGTGGGTGGAAGGATGTGAGCTGGCGAATGCTGAAGCCGTGTGTGCCCTCTGCATCGGCAAAACAAATGAAAGCCTGAAGAATAACTCTCTTTCAGGAGGCCAGCGTGGTGTCAGGGCTCGTTGTCAGTGCTGTGGTGGTAGCTCTCAGCCAGTCTCCAGCATTGCTGGAAGGCCAAAAGCTCCCTAAATATTATCTTCTGCAGCAGAATACCAGTGCTGTCGCCAGCTGTGGGGAGAGATGCAGCCCTGTCTCCAAGCATCCCCATTGTCCCCAGTCCGGTCATCTCGAGTCACCACCGTGCAAATGAAGTGCCCTGGGGCCTGGGTGCTTGGTCTGTCTTCAGGAGTGGCTGTCATGCGTGTCCCTTTTCCTTCTCGGGCTCCTTTGGCTCAGAGGTTGGGAGGGGAAGACGTGGCGTGATGCTGAATTGGCTTTTTCTGGGTTGTGCAATTAAGAGGAGGAATTTGAGAGGCAGTGAGACTGAGGGAGACATGCAGGGCACGGGCACGCTGTTTCCACCCTGCCTGTGTGGGGCAGGGACACGTTTATGTGAGTAACTTTGATTATTCAGAACATGTCCTGGGCACATTTCAGGCTGTGGATGGGAGAG